AATCGTGTAGACAATGCTTGGCACTCCTCTATCGCATTGGAATCTTCAAAGTCAGAGGAGGAGGAAGGAAAAGGACGGAACAGGTTGAGATCGTCTGCGTAAATGATTTCTTGAAAATGGAAGCGTGCAGCTGCTCTTGTGTATCGCCGAACAATTCTTTCCAGAAAGGTAGCGCGAACACAATATCTTGATACACCATGCCTGTCATGCGTACCTGACGGAACAAAACATGCCCCGCCCATAGCAACACGGGTTCGCCGGGCCACGGCCCAAGATAGCTCCCGAACGACTCCCGAGAGCCCCAGGAAACTTTCGAAACCCAGCAAAAGAGCCCCAAAAAGGGCCTCACGACGCTCCAAAAAGAACCCGAAAAAAGGGTTCGACAAAGGCTTGGAAAGATCCTCAAGAAAGCCCCAATAACGAGCTTCAGGAGGGCACCAACAAGGCGCCCAAAGAAGTCCAAACACATTCCCAAATATGGCTCCAGATTTTCAAACGCACGCAGAATATTATACAAACCCATGCAAGAGTATTACCATGTATCGAAACACCGCTAACCCCTCTTCGAAACACCATTGCACATTGCATAGGTTTTCGTATTAAACTTCAATGCGTGGAACTATTTGTGATCCTTGTTTTCCCGAAGACGGCTGCGTTACTGCATGCCCTGCCGCGCCCGATTCATCATCTCTCCATTTCGTTTTTGGATGGACTGGTGGGCGTACGCGAAACGTCAAAAGGATGCTGCCGCGCATTGGATTATTTGAATATAATTGAAAACATTTTTTTTTTGCTTTGGTGTTTTTCTGTTTCGAAATAAAACATATAATAACATTATTGCGTCATTGTTTGAATTCTTTAAAATCACAGCTTAAGTCGTATCATACACATACATCACATTTTTAGACCTGTTTGAAACAGACACAACGAGTGCAATTTCTCATAGTTAGATCTCCGCTCGTCGCTTACGGCCTTCTCATGACTCGATTATTAGATCTTTGCACATTCCAGACGTCGAAATCCTAGTTCATTGTAACTTCGCGCCTTGGGCGTCAAGCGGGATCCTCCCCAGGATGCCACAGGGTGCTCCAGCAGTGAGGCCCCAGGAGGCAACAGGAGGTCCCAGGAGGCATCTGGAGGCGATCGGAAAAGTAAGAGGCCACAGGATGCACCAAGAGGCTCCAGGAGGCCCCATGAAGCTCCAGAAGGCTTCAGAAGGTTACGTAACGTTCCAGGAGGCCACAGGAGGCCACACGAGGCCCCAGGAGGCCACAGGAAACGCCAGGAGCCACCAGGAGGACACGGGAAACACCAGGAGGCCCCAAGAGTCCCCAGGAGCAGGAGGCCCCAGAAGGCCACAGGAGTGGCTCCAATCCCATGTGTTGTAGCTATGCTCCTATAGATTGTGTCTCCCTTGGAGCACGAATCCTTGGTGTTTTACACCTGTTTCTACATATTGTCCTCTTGTGGTGTATCAGGTCCTAAGTATTTTACGTCTGTTCCTATGCACGAGTCCTTGGTGATTTACGCGTGTTCCTATATATTATCCTTTTCTTTCGGCTCCAATCCGCAGTGTTACGTCTGTTCCGATATATTGGGCTTCTCCTTGGGCGCGAATCCTCCCAAGGAGGCCCGAGGAGGCTGGATGGTCCAGGAGTTCCCAGGAGGCCACACGAGCCAAGAGGTCCCAGGAGGCCCCAAGAGGCTCCAAGAGGCACCAGGAGTTCTCAGGAGGCCACACGAGGCCCAGGAGGCCTCAGGAGGTCACATGAAACCCCAAGAGGCCCCAGGAGGCCCAACGAGGCTCCAGGAGGCACCAAGAAGCTCCAGGAGTTTTCAGGAGGCCCCAGGAGACCCCAGGCTCATGCGCACAGACTCACTCGTACTACTGAGGCTCACCCCCAGTCTATCAATACTCAAACCCGTTTATATTCGAAGTCTCTAGCGCCTAGGCACTCACAGCGGAAAGGTCCATGCAAATAGATGCACATTTGGGGAGCTCCACGAAGTGCGTCATTTTCTGCCGTGTACCTCGTTGGGCCTATGTGATTTGCTGTTACCGCTTCCTCTGTTGGTCCAGGTTATTTGATTCTTCCGCGTCTCCGGTTCAGTTTTTTTTTCTTCGTAACGCGATCGTATTTTTTGTTGTTTTGGGTGTGTCCGCATTTCCTCCGGTGATCTCGTTTCTTCTCAGTTCCCGGTGCCCCCTGCTGCTCTCGTTTCTTTTGTTGTTTGTGCATCCTTCGTTGTTCGCGTGCTTTTTTCCAACCATCATGTGGTGTTGGTCCTCGTTTTGAAGAGACAGCGCCCCGCGTTCTCACTCCTCCTCCCACTGCCCCCTCCTTCCTCCTTCCAGCATCATCATCATCATCATCATCAACATCATCATCGTCATCGTCATCGTCATCGTCATCATCATCGTGATCGTCGTCATCATCATCAACATCATGGCCGTCGTTATCATCATCGTCATCATCATAATCATCATCATGATCATCACCATCATCATCATCATCATCATCATCATCATCATCATCATCGCCGTCATCATCGTAAGCGTCATCGTCATCGTCATCATCATTAGCGTCATCAGCATCATCAGCATCATTATCGTCATCATCGTCATCATCATCATCATCATCATCATCATCATCACCACCACCATCATCATCATCATCATCACAGATCATCATCATGATCATCATCGCCGTCATCATCACCATCATCGTCATCATCACCATCATCGTCATCATCACCATCATCGTCATCGTCTTCGTTACACCCCTCACACGTTTCGTGGCCCCGTAAGGAGCTCCACCCAAGTCCCAGTGGTGCAGTCCGCATGGTGGTGTCGCCCCATTTTGGCACACCCCTCACACGTTTCGTGGCTCCACAGGGAGCTCCACCTAAGGTCCCAGTGGCGCAGTCCGCATGGCGGCGCTGCCCCATTTTGGCACACCCCTCACACGTTTCGTGGCCCCATGGGGAGCTCCACGTAAGGTCTCAGTGGCGCAGTCCGCATGGCGGCGCCGCCCCATTTTGGAACACCCCTCACAGGTTTCGTGGCCCCATAGGGATCTCCACCTCAGGTCCCAGTGGCGCAGTCCGCATGGCGGCGCCGCCCCATGTTGGCGCACCCCTCACACGGGAGCTCCACATAAGGTCCCAGTGGCGCAGTCCGCATGGCGACGCCGCCTGACTGTGGCACACCTTTCACACGTTTCGTGGCTCCGTAAGGAGCTCCACCCAAGGTCCCAGTGGCGCAGTCCGCATGGCGGCGCCGCCCCATTTTGGCACACCCCTCACACGTTCCGTGGCCCCATGGGGAGCTCCACGTAAGGTCCCAATGGCGCAGTCCGCATGGCGGCGCCGCCCCATGTTGGCACACCCCTCACACCTTTCGTGGCTCCCTAAAGGGGGCTCTACATCAGGCTCCAGTAGCAGCGCCCGCATGGCGGCCCCGCCCCATTTCGGCACACTCTTCCCGCGCGTCGTGGCTTCATAGGGATATCCACCGAAGGCGATACTAACAACGACGGTATTCACAATTGCTTGTGGTTGGGTTCTTCGCCACTCTAATTGTTCTTGTTACTTCGGGCTTCTGCTGAACTTGTTTTTTTGTGATGCTCTCGTGTTGCTTGTTGTTGCTTTTTTTCTTTGGTCCTCTTGAAATGTTGTTCCCCCATGTCTTTTGATGTTCCCGTTCTCTTTCTTGCTCCCGTGTTTCTAGTTATTATGGGCTGTGCTTTTCCCTTTTTTGATTTGCTTGCTTGACTTGCGATACTCGCATTTTCTGTGGTGCTCTCATGTTTTCTGTTATTCTCATTTGCTTTGTTGCTCCCGTTTCCTTCGTGTTCCAGTTTTTCTTTGGTGCTCCCGTTTCATTGGCTGCTCCCGATTTTTTTTGTGTTCATGATTTCTCTATTAGTTCCCGCGTCCCCTGTTGCTCCTTCTTCTGTGCGGTTCACGTGTCCTCTGTTTTTCCTGTGATCTGTGCTGCTGCTGCCGTGCCTCGCCATTCACGAAACCACCCCAGACGAACCCGAATGCCCCTATTTGTCCTCCATTCCCAGAGATGGGGGCGTCGGGGAACATTGAAAACCGCCAATCGAAACCACCCCCCCCTCCCAACCCGCTTGGTAGGCAGTCGGTGTCCTCTGCTGCTCTCTCGCTCTCTGCCCCGCCCACGGGCCCGTCCGTGGCCTGGGTCACGGCGCCGGCCGCCGCCGCCGCCGCCGCGCGCCGGGGCGCGCCGAGATTCCGAGGGGGGCGAGAGAAGGAAAAGGGGTGGGAAGTAGGAGGAGGAGGAGGAGGAGGAGGGGGAGGAGGAGGAGGAGGAGGAGCGACGAGAACGAG